TGTTTTTAGTGAGTGTATGCAAGCCATGTATGTACTTTCACTTGGTCTGTTTGCATATATTTGCATAAGTGCGGATGGTTCATATTTCCTGCAATATGTTAATGTGTTTGCACATGTGTGTGTGTGTGTGTGTGTGTGTGTGTGTGTGTGTGTGTGTGTGTATGCATGGAGAGCAACATTAATGTTACACAACCAGAAAGGGAACTCTTGCTTTGATACATAACTGTCAAATATATTGACGCGATTCAGGATAAATTAACACTGAGAACTCGTGAGTGTTTCACCCGTTACTTTGGATCTGCACACAATTTAATGTTAGAAAGAGGGAAAGTTTAGTTGCATGAGATTAGACATGGTTTTGCAGTTTGTACATTTTTGAATAAGGGGAAAGAAAGTAGAATTGAGTAACTAACTGCTTGTTAGCAGTGGGATCATTTTATTGTTTCCATTGCATTAAAACTATGGCAAAGGCAGATGTCGTTTTTGTTGCGGTAGTTTGACTTTAAAGCTAACAAAGTCAAAGGAGAACAATGTATTTAAGCTGCTCTTAACTGTTTTTATCTGTTAATAGATCACAGATATCAAAGATGTCATGTTTTTTAATCTTTACTCTTTCAACACAGTGGAGGTGTTTTCATTGTTAGAAGTTCAGGACAGTGACTTTGATAAAGAAAATGAAAACAGGGGAATTAGCTGTCAAAACAATAATAAAAGCTTCCAATACAAATGATCCTACATCTTTCTAGGGGTTAGAGTCTGGTGTTATTTTTTTTTAAGCACCTGGTTCAAAGAAAACTCCAGTGCTTTACTGGAAAACTGTCGCTTTGATTTTGTTCCAGATCTAAAAATACGCAGCTTCACCTTCTTTTAATGTGACAAGTTTCCTTAGTAAAGTACTTTACTTCTTATTAATTTATTCAACTCTCCACTACATGCAGGGTAATATATTCGAAGATGGTTGAGCTGCTTGAAAAAACTGTGAAATCATTAAATAGAACTTTTTTATTACTCTGGCTGCGACTGCACAGGGCTCCGCATAATGAAAAACTTCACTAATAATAGTTAGCACACACACACACACAGACAAACACACACATGCATTCAATCTGCATGTCCCAGTATAGAGTGTAGACAGTGCATTACCCCAGTTCTGGTATTGAACGCAGCCCATTAGCAGTGTTAATCTATAGATCTAATCATGATCATGAAATACAGCACTGTCCTCATTCTGGCAGTGTCAGCAAGACTCATAAACTATGCCACATTTTTCCCTCATATAACCTGCCAGACAAAACAAAGGTCATACTGAGCCCTTTCTACTTCTTGTTGGGATTCATTTATTTAATATTAACTTTATAAAAAACCTGTAAACAAGAGTCAGGAGGGACAAGAAACTTAATTTACAAGTGAGACAAAAATGACTTCACTTTAGAAATAACAGTGAAAACTCAATAAGGTCAAGTCTATAACATAACAAAAAAAATTGGCAATAAAGTAAGAGAAAGCAGAAAGAACAAAATCATATTGAATAGTTACAATATTAAAAATGATTCCAAACAAGGAAAAACAAATGAATAATAATTTGTAATAATACTCAAAATGAATTCCATCAAACACAATCTTGCTTCAGGGCTCCTCAATAGCTCTGTATGAGGGGGACCAGACACGCACATGAACATCCAAACATCTCATTGTATTTCATTTTTTAAAGCAATAATACCCGGCAGCAGAAGGACGGGGAGGCAAGACTAAGCAGAGTGTCAATAACGCAGTGTGGCGGCTTGTTGTGTAATTACAGCTAAATGATACCAGAATGGTCAAAAAGTGAGAAATATGCAAATAATTAATAATTACTGTATATTCAAAATCAATAGAGAGCAAATGAGAGCTTTGTGGACAATTAGGGCCATTTGATGGAAAACATAATAGAGGTTTGATGGGACGTGTGATGCTGGAACAGTAATTATAGGTCTAAGCAACCTACATACAAATATGCAAAATTACTATATACGCAAAATAGCATAGAAACACCCACCTCATACACACATGCAAACATATACACACAATAACACACCTCTACACACTGTTAAACCTAGGCGCTCGTTCTAATTACTGCATCCACTTAGCATGCATTCCACATTCTGATCACACTCTGAACATTGTATCATGTCAGATCATCCAATATCTCAGGTAACAATAGGTAACAAAAAGTCAATTCACAGGATTATTACCAGAGGAAGTAATCATTCCTGCCTTCTCATTCATAAAAAAAAGCACACTCACTGTTTCATGTGTCTACCAGTAATATCTCATTAGAGATTAGTACAGATCAGCTCTTTTAATTAGCCATCCTGCCCACACAGGCGCTGATAAAAGCCTGAGTTCTTGTACACAGAAACTGTCTGTATTTACTGGAAGTGTGTGTGTGTGTGTGTGTGTGTGTGTGTGTGTGTGTGTGTGTGTGTGTTGGTGTCAGTGTGAGTCCTCTGTATAGTAGTAGACCTCAGCTTCTTTTCCACATCCAGTTTTCATTAGAGGTAACACAAAGTACTGATTTGATTGATCCCTGCTTCTTGAGTGTTTGTGTGTGTGTGTGTGTGTGTGTGTGTGTGTGTGTGTGTGTGTGCGCGTGCGCCTATGTGAGTACAGGCATGTAGATTAATGCATGTGTTTTATCTTAGCTTTATTTAACTTCTTTGTTTACAGAATCACTTTAAAAAACAGCAGGAGTGTGTACATACATTATATAAGCTGATGTGAATGTGAAAGAATATGTGTTGTGTTTCTATGTGTATGTTCTTGTGAGAGCCGTATCATAATCTGCTTTCATAAGCATGACTTTCTGTGTTTACCCTGACATCACTTTGAAGAGTTTTTCCTCCTGGGCAAGAAAAAAAAAGAGAGAAAAAAAAATGAGACTCTCCCACACATGGATATGTGCCAAAGCTAACTGAAATAAGCAGCTGTTTAGAATCACCTCCATCTCAACAACTCAAACACCATCCTGATGGATGACGACAGGCCGGGAAAATAAATCCTTTACCTTGAGGCAACAATGGCTGGTACATCCTAAAATTCATCAAACACCTTCAGTATTTCACCAGCCATTCTGCTGCGCACCACAGGAGCATGAGAATCCATGAGTAATCCCTTCAAGAAAAATCCCTCCAAAAATGTCCAAAACATGGAGAAGCTGTGCCCTAGTGGTCAGTTTGTGCACCCTATTTTAAGAGGCTGTAGTCCGAAGCGGGCAGCCCGGGTTGAATCTGACCTGTGGCTCCTTTCCTGCATGTCATTCCTCACGCTCGCTCTCCACCCATTTAAGACTTATCCACTGTTTCCATTGCACTCCACAATAAAGGCATAAAAAGCCTGAAATAAATTTAAAAAAATCAACAAAGTAAAGCATTTCTACTGTTTCTTGTCCCCAGTACCCACATGTTGCTTTTAGACTCTATTGAATTCATCAAACCCATCAGTTTGTTTTCTACTGTTAGACAGAGAAAAAAACAAAAAGAAAAACAGGTGGGATATGAATGATAACCAACAAGACATTCGCTTTTTGTCTACTGACCCATTGTCTCAAAGTTTGAACATCGGATGGAAAACTTATAATTATCTATTGATCCTAATTAGAAAGCTTAAAGCTGTTGTGTCATCACTTTTATTTCTCTCCAAGGCCAGCCTGTGCTGTCTATCAGTCAAGGCTAGACGTGGCTAACGGCTAGCTAAGTGGTGCTAATTGAGCTACTTGCCTGCAATAATGGTTTTTAATGCAATGGGAAGTCATTCATCAGCACTGTTCTGTTCCAGCAAAGAGAGGGCGAGGGAGAGAGAAAGGAGGAGAGAAATAAATGGTTGACGACGGACAGGAAGCAGGAACTTCAGTAACTCAGACATCCCAAGTTTGAGAATGAGAAGAACGGAGAGAGAGGGAAAAAAATACAGCCAAACAGAGAAATAAAAAAATATTTGAGGACATGAACAGATAGTCAGATAGCTTTTCACTCAGCCATGGCTAACTCAAGAAAGAAACCGCACAGACAGATAGACTTGCCTATAAATTTGTGTTTACATTTGGTGACATACAGGCCACCATGCTTGAACCTGCATTCTGTATCTTCACACTGAGAAATGTGTATGATTGTGTGTGTGTGTATGTGTTGACATCACTGCGCTTGAGTCTCTACATAAACATGTCGCCTTCAACATGAACCTGTCCTGCAATATTATGTGTTAAAGTCGCCTGCAGTTTCTGAAAGCATGCAGATCACAATGTGATGTGAAGCTTCCTGTTGTGAATGTGTGTAACTGTGTGATTGTGAGCATGTGTTGTCATGGTACTTCCTACTGTATGCTAGAAAAAAGGTTAAAAGATTGAATCTTTACCATTCTAATGAAATAATTATAGTGGTATTATTACCAAAACTAGTGGTACAATAATTGAATGATCTGTTATAATATTTCTTTATGTTGTTATTAAATCAATCGGCCTTTACCTTCACCTTTACTGACATAAACTGTTCTTTTTGTACATTGCCTTTTGCGTTCAGCTGCTGAATCACTTCTTCGCTGCTATATTAAACACATTTTCTCACCACCTCTTCAAGGTCTCACCTACACTTATTATTATAATTAATCTGCCTCCACAATTTGACAACATTGCAATTAAATTAGACCAACCCATGTATTGGGGTCAAGTACTGATCAGCCATCATGTTATCAGAAAAGGAACAAGGTGTATTTACTCTGCTGTTGTTCTTTTCATCCCCTTGATTTAAATGTGTGCACACACAAGCATGCATGCACACAATCACACACACACGCACACAAACCTAATCAACCTTTCAAGGACAGAGCAATTAGCTTGCCAGCCCATTGTGTGGACAGGTACCAATATGCAACCACATTATTCCACTTTACAAACAACAAAAACTACCCAGCTGCTGACAGAGAAAGCTGAAAAAAAAAAAAAAAAAAAAAGTTTGATTCAGTCCTACCTCTCTGCCGTAGAGTACGCCTTTCTCTGACACATCACCGCCAACGAACTGCTTCCCGGTGCCATTTCCTGTTTGATCTCCCACGCCACCAGGTTGCTTGGTTTCACCGCAAGGAAGTTGATGCCTGACTGGAACCACACCCTGCAGAGACAAGAGAGAGAAGAAAAGGCGAGGTTAATCCTCAGTTCACACCAGCACATCATAAAACAAAAGAGGAAAAGAGAGCGGAGTTGTCATAGTGACAGTTAGGGGGAATTTGCTTAAAATTGAATTGGCTGCACTTGGAGTTTCCCTGCCCCGATTTTCTGGCGGATTTTCTTTAATCCCTGATACGTGGCAAAGTCTCTTTGTATAAAATGCCTTTAAAAATTGATTTGCACAGCTGGGTGCCACCTCCTGTGGTTTTAGGTGGAGAAGACAAAGACATGAGTGGATAAGCTGTTATGAAAGATAACATTTTAAAGGGATAGGTGCTGTGTGAATGACGGAGATTATATCCAATAGACAAAATGCAGTTTGGCTAATGAGAAAACAAACAACAGTACATATCTCAGTTATATGATTTTACATTAAATATCCCATTTCCTCCTCTCATCAGTAAGTCTGTCACCACATTTACCCTTCATCTTTTCTAACTTTTCCTTATCTTACCTTTCTTTTCTGAGTCTGTTCCTTACTTTTGCTTTTTTCATGTCTACCTTTGGTCCCTCTGCAGTAAGATTACCACCATTCATCTCTATATAGTCCTCATCCCCTCTTTATCATTAAATCCTGTTGTGTCTTCCTTGTTTCCCCCCCTCTTTTCCTGACCCTCTGTTCTTTTTCATCCAACATTTTCGTTTTATAGTCTATATGATTTCCTCCCAAGTTTCTCTTGGCACCAACCCCCCTTCCCTCAAAAGTTATATCAGTTTCCTATTACATTCAATACCCCTTCCTAACCCCTTTCATTCAAATGCCCTCCTTGTTTCTTGTCCTTCTTCTTCATCGACCCCCCTTCTCACAATCTTTCTTTTTACTTTCCTTACCAGGTCTCCTCTTTCATCCCTTTTCCTCACCTTCCTCCTTAAGATTTCCTTCTGCCTTTCATCCATCCCTCTGTGATTTCCTTCGATACCTTCCTTCCTTTTTTCCTTCCCCAGACACCTTACTTCATCCCTCCTTCAGCCCCTCCTCCATCCTCCAATCTCAAAGCATCCTATTCTTAATCTCTTTATCTTCTCCTTGTCCCTCTCCTCGCTCTAATCCGTCCCGGTGTGTTTTGTTCTATTTATCACCTTGACAAGACCCTCCCTCAGTTTATAGACACACTTTACAGCCACACGCACACACAAACACGCACATGTGCAAACTTGTGTACTGCTTTTCTCATTAACACACATACTTTACAATAGTTTTTGGCATACAACTATGCAAATACCAGCACAGACTTTCTCCCTAAAACACTTTTTTTTAACTCAGAGAAGAGAAAAAACGTTTCAATCCTCTTTGTCTCCTTTCTCATTATTACTCTCTACTGTTCGTCTCGCTTCATGTCGTGCCAGTAACTGCCTGCAAATATGTCACGGCGGTCCCTGGCTGTGCGTTTCTGTACATATGTTTGTCAGTGTGTATGTACATACACACCTGTGTCTGCTGTTGATTAGCCTAAACAAGATGCTTTTCTGTGTTTGTGGCAAGGGAATGTGTCTCTTGTGAAAACTTCAAAACCCACTTTTTTTTTTCTGCTTCACTTTCAACTCGTTTTTTCTTGGTGTATGTTATAAGGAGTGAAAAATGTTCCCAGATGATCATTGTAGTTTGTGTTTGTGTATTAATTTTGGGAAACAATGAGTACTAAATTAGGTGTGAAGCTGCCATAAACTATTTTTTTTGCAGATAGGGCAGCGTGCACATTGTTTGAGTCGTGGTTTGTGCTCATGCTTCCAAGAAAACTATAGTGTGTGTATGTGTGTAATTGTGCATGTGTGTGCAGAAAAACAGCATCAACTAATGAGTGATCCTCTAAAATATCTACTATCATAATTTAACAACTGAATGTCACAGTAAATAACAAACGAACTAAATAAGAAACTATAAAGGATCATCTGTGTCCTTTTCCTTGTCCCTCTCATTTTAGTCACCACCCTGATCCTCCTCCCTCTCTCTCTCTCTCCCTCCCTCCCATTGATGCACCTCTTCCTCAAACAAACCAGAATTTAAGATAATTCACTTCAAAAGGAATGTGCTGCAACCTGAGTGATGCAATTAAAGAACAAAGCTCAAAGCGCTGAACGAGTAAAACTACCCAATTATAATTCAAAAACATTGGATGGAAACTTGTTTGAATTACAGTACGACAGATGACGAAATCAGTAAAACATTTTTTAAAAAAGACCCACTAAGTTAGACTACAAACCCATCTTAGGTTAATCAAATGATGCTATTTATCCAGCACTTTGTTTTGTACACAACACATTCCCTCAACAACCAAAGCAGAACCCAAACTGTGACAGGCGTAAAACTCCAGCCCACGTTCGCCCAAAGCCAGCAGAAAGTGAAGGCCTGTCACAGATCATTCTAGACCCACTGCCAATGATCACATCTGACATATTATTTGAGGAGTGACAACCAAACACAGCAACAATTATCTGTGTCAAAACAGGCAGAAAATACATATTTAGTATTCAATTGTTTGGTGTTAGAATGGAGCATTAGGCAGTTTATCACAGTAACAGTAAAGAGGTTTACTCATCATGTCACTCACTACCGGGTGAGACTGTCATCTCCACTGGACAGCATTTGTGGATCCATAAAACCCTTCATTAAGCCTGTGTTTCTGACAAGCCATTTTTTGATTTTTTTGTGAGGGGTCATGAGAAATAATACATTAAAGATTCTTTAATTGAGTCAATTCTTGGACCATCTCACTGACTCAGCTCATAGTTTGGTTTGATAAATTAACTTTCACTGTTTTCATGAATATCGTTTTAAGCTGTTTAACGTCTCTTTTAACATTAATTAATATTTTGAATGCAATTCTGAAAACCACTTGTACTTAAATCCATCTTCTTAGTGTGAGAGAAATCACCCTGAAGTGTTGATAGAAGCAGCATATCCATGATTTGAGAATTTCATTGTCAACAAGAAATGTCAAGTCATTGGCACAATCGCGCGCAATAGTGGGACAGAACAGGGGGAGGCACCTCCTTTCAACAAAGGCTCTCATTGGCTGTTATGAGGTGGCTCAAAGCAATAAACAATATGCAAATGAACCGTAACAACGATGTCAGCTAAAATGTTCAACATGAAGCAAACAGAACATGTTCCAAAAGGAGTGGGATGAAGTTTCCACTTATTTTATCCTACTTCATATCAAAACATGAAAATAAATAAATACACAAATCAAACCATGTAACCAGCTATCGCACTCTCTACTCTTCTCTTTGTCTATGGAAATGTGTTTTTTTTATTTTTTTTACAATTTCTTACAGAATAAAGTTTTGGTTTTGTTTGAGTGTATTTTCAAACTGTTGAACAAATCCATCTAACAGATGCGAGGCACTAACTCCTCCTTTTTGTTCAAGCACACACTTCATTAAGGTTAAGGTTCAGCCAAGAGTGACCCTTGAGTCAAATACTCCCTGTGGAGGCCATTTTAATCATGATAACTTTAGTTTCAGAAGTATGGTTTAAGTTTGTGTTAATAGAGTATATTTTTTGTGTTGTAAGAAATAAGTATTAATTTATGAGAAGTACTTGATTTGACATGGAAACTTTTATGGTGAATAATGGATTTATTTGGGCACATTTTGGCAGGTATTTTATGTTATGGGTGGAGCCGAGTTAATTAATTTGGCTGCGATGCACAGGTGGAGAGACCGTTTGTGGACGGTGGTGGAGGTTTAGGAGCCAAGCAGCAAATGTTTTTTGATCGTGACCTTTTGTTTTGAGTTTTGATATATTCATTTTGGATCTGTTCTGGATACAAGTGGAATTACGAATAAAATAAGAAATCAAGTGAAACAACGGATCTGTGAGTATATTAAAGTGGACACGCATCAGGAACGAACAGGTTGGCTCCTATGACACAAGTGACAATTTTTATATGACACACAAGAAGAAATTTCCACTACACTCCCGTACTGTCCAGTCAGTGGAGTGAATTTGAAACAGAATGGGGCTGTCAGTAGAAAAAGCTAGATGGATTGAGCTTGCTTTGACAATATATACAATAAACCACAACACCTACATAAAAAAAAAAAAAAATCACATAATGACAGAAAACAGACCGCCACTCTTTTCCCATAGTGCCTCTGTCAGGACTTTGGAGCGTCTGGGTGCGTATCTGTGTGTGCATGTCTGTCAACAAGCAGGATGACGGACAAGGCTGCGTCCCTAAGCTGCCTCTGTCAGATCTGAGTACAGCAACAGAGTCTGACAAGTGTCTGTGTATCCGTCTTTGTCTGTCTGCCTGTTGTGGTTTTTTTTTTAGGTAATGCAGGAAGACAAGCCAAACTTCTCCTGTCTCTCTCACTCACTATATTTATCACACTTTGTTTCATATTTCATGTCAATGAGGCTGCTCGGTCTCAAACCTGGAATTTAAAACGGGCATCACTTACTAATCTGTGATGTTTTTAGAGGCAAGAATTTCAACATCAACTCCGGTGTAATACACTTGAAGCTTTATTTACAGCAGAAACATTAACAGGCCATCCGTTTCCTCCCTTGCTCCCTGGGTGACACTCATACATTACACACTTTCACAGCTCCAGTCTGCTCCTGTTGGCCATTGAGTAGCTCACAGAGCATTACGATTGATTTTCTTTGCCTTTTTTTTAGCTGGAGCCCTGCCTTGTTTATAGGCATTTCAACACTAGTTTTCCAAGCGGAAAAATAAAGAGCAAAAGAGTAAGTGAAGGAAAAAACCAATAGGGCATTATGCCAAAAAGCTAAAGCAGGCTGAGAATAAGCATTCCCTTTGCTGTTTTAAATCACAACTTTAAATGCAGAATGTGTTTCTGTCACGGTGATGCTTCTCTTTCTTTCTTTCTTTTTTTTTACCTTTTGGAGTTGTTTTTTGTTTGCCCCACAGGGGTCCCTTTACCTCGCTTATGCAGATTGTACCTCTGCTGCAATGTGGCTCTCCCTCCAAGAGC